TTTTTTTTTTTTTTTTTTTTTTGCCAGTCATTGGATTGAATCATCACTTGACTTGATCAAAAGTATTACAAGAGTCTGCTGTGACTCTGGGCTAATCCCCAGTCTCTGTAGGATATGTTTAACAGCCTAGTTCTGCAAGGCCCATGTCCTGAAGGGGGTGCTGAAGGGGAGGTGGAAAGAAAGTGCAAATTGGAGACCCTTTGACCTTTCAGGTTTATCTAATTAAAAAAAACACAGCAACACAATGCCTTCTCACAACTCCTACTGCCTTCCCACATTTCCAACCAAACTGTAAGGGTCTCTAGGCCAATTTTCTGGTCTTCACAAGGGGTAAATGTGTACTATGGTCTGTTCATATTCTTACACTAAAAGAAAATAGATTTCAAAAGGCATTTATCAAGTTAAAGAAAAAATACATTTAAAAAAAGTTCAACCTCTTACCTCATCACCAGAGCCCATATGAATATACTTCCAACTTATTCTCTAACAATTGATAATTTAGGCTGCGCATCCAACTTTTCTCATTTAGACTGCAGCCAGACATCTTAACTAAACACACCAAAAGAACTGACAATCTTGATCTTTGTAAAACTTCTTTTGGAACCCTAAAATAGTACATTAATTCATTTAAAAGTTATTTCTAGAAATATTCATGTTAGTGGACAAAGGTTAACTTCATCTTTGTCAAAATGGCTTCTCACACCTGCATTTATTTCTTTGGCTTTGTCATTCAAACAAAAACAAAACATCTATCTTACTGCTACAAGTCCAGCTGTGCAAATGGTGCTGGTTATGCATATGGAAAGAAACACAAGCTTCAGCCAAGATTCTATGTCTTATTAAGACTCAAATTTCAACAAAATCTCTCTGCACAGGCAGCACCTATGGGTCAGTGGGTAGGACGCTGGCCCCATATACCAAAGGTAGCAGGTTTGAACCTAGCCCCTGCCAAACTGCAATGAAAAAATACCTGTGCACTGTGGCAGGCATCTGTAGTCCCAGCTACTCTGGAGGCAAGAGAATTGGCTAAGCCCAGGAGTTGGAGATTGCTGTGAGCTGTGATGCCAAGTCACCCTACCGAGGGTGACATAGTGAGATTCTGTCTTTCAAAACAAACAAACAAACAAACAAAAAAACTCTTCCCTTTTGTGGCCATTGTCAGAGAGGCAGTGGCCAAAATGAAGTTCAATCCCTTTGTGACTTCAGACCAAAGCAAGAACCGCAAGAGACATTTCAATGCACCTTCCCACATTCACAGGAAGATTATGTCTTCCCCTCTTTCCAAAGACCTGAGACAGAAGTACAATGTTCCATCTATGCCCATCCAAAAGGATGATGAAGTTCAGTTGTCCGGGGGCATTATAAAGGCCAGTAGATTGGTAAAGTAGTAGAAAGCAATACGTCATCAATGTATCGGGTGCAGCAGGAAGGCTAATGACACAACTGTCCATGTGGGCATTCACTCCAGCAAGGTGGTTACTGGGCTTAAACTGGACAAAGACCGCAAAAAAGATCCTTGAATGAAAAGCCAAATCTTGCCAAGTAGAACAGGAAAAGGGTAAGTACAAGGAAGAAACAATTGAGAAGATGCAGGAACAAAATAATCTTATATGCAACTTTCATTAAACACTGCTTAAATGAAAAAAAAAAAAACTCTGCAAATGAAAAATTCCTCTTATTTTCCAAGGTAAATAACAAAAAACTAAACCACTCAGTAGGGCAAAAGGAAGTCTAAATCCAGGATATGTGAAATTACTGAACAGTCAAAAATAATACTCTAATAACTAAATGACATTAATTTTGATCTCCATTAGCAATCCTGACAGCAAATGATAAAAATATGGCATTAAATTTTAAAAAGGTATACGTAATTAATGCCACTGTTTCCGTTTTGGTTCCGAAGACTAAGACTGAATTTTTAATTTTTAAATTTTTTTGGTAAACAAAATCTGAAGTTCTACCTTCTAAAGTTGCTGATAAGCTAACTTCTCATTTTTTTCCATAGGGAAATTACTACACCAAGAATCTACCTTCCCATTCTTTTCAAATACAAGAAAAAAGAAGCTAAGTTTGGAGAGAGTCCTATTTAATCTAATGCTTCAAAGAGAAGGACAAAACATCTACCTGGAAATGAAGTGTGATGGGAAATAACCAGTGTGAGTGGAACCCTTCTACTAATGGCGGTTTCTAAATAAGGGAAGATGCTGACATCAAGCAAATTTCAAGTAGACACAGTGAAGAATTTCCACGTGGTCCTCAGAAGTCCTGGCCTTGGAGAAAGCCCCAGAATCCATGGCCACGGGCAATTTCCATAGTGAGACTTCTCAGAAGCATCCTTAGGAGGACACATCAGTTTCACTGCCTTCAGGGGCTGGCAGATAGGGGCGCCAAGCACCATCTTTCCTCTCTGGGAGTTGCAGCCTTTAGGGACAAGCTTCAAACCTGAACTACTTCCAACTTCCAAGGGGACAGGGGGAGCAAGGGAGTGTGGTTCCACTGCTTTCCTCTCACACCAAGCCCAGCAGCTGGGCGACAGTGGCTGTGACAGTGACAGGAGAGGCGGCTGGCGCTGCATGCCTGTTTACTTGTCTCAGATGGATGTGGGAAGAGGAGACAGACTCTAATGAAAAGATGGAGAGGTGAGCTAAAGAGGGGCTGGGGACAAGGGGAGGCACTACCTTTCTTTTCTCTGCTCTTCCTAACTCCTAAAAGGCCTTTCGGGCTCTTCAGAGCCTTTGGCCAGAGAGGTGGCGCCTGCCTCAGCCTCAGAGAAGTCCTGAGACTGCTGGTCGTCGCTGAAACTCTGGGCAGCCTTGGCCCCTGTGGTGTCCTCAAGCCTGAGCTCTGCGACGCAGAGGCTGCGGCCGCCGTTTTGTGGGGAAGACTCAAGCTCCAGAGGTGCCAGCTTTATCTCGTCCTCTCCTAAATCACTGCTTTCATAGGCAGAGAGGCCTCTGTCTGTGCAGCAGTTCCCATCCATGGACAGGAGGAGCTCCAGGAAGCTTCTGGTCCCAAGGTTGATGGGCATGGGGGAAGGGGCAGCAGGCTGACCTCACTTCCCAGTTGCTCTCAGCCCGCCCACCTCCTGTCCCCAGTAACCCCGAGCGGTGCTCCTGACCCAGCAGCTTCCTGGGTGCCCCTAAGGGGGCACCCCAATAGTAGAGCCCAGCCCCCTCTAGTACGCGGATTTCTCAAGGAATCTAAAGTAGACCCACCATTTGATCCTTAAATCTCTCTACTAGAGATTTACTCAAACGAAAAAAAAAATTTATGAAAAGGATACTCACACTCAAATGTTCATAGTAGTGATACCGGATTTTTAACACTGGATTTCCAGGCTCTTGGTCTCAACGTTGGACCATAGAATGAACAGTGAGGTTTTATTTACAGCTCAAAGACCCAAACCTCCTTGCAGGGCAGGATGCAAGTGTTACAACTCTTATGAAAACAACTCTTACAAAGAGCCAAGCCTCTTTGTAGAGCAGGATAGATGTGCTACAGCTCTTACAAAGGACCAAGCCTCTTTGTAAGGCAGGATGAGCAGCAGAAGTGCTACAGCTCTTACAAAGGACCAAGCCTCTTTGCAAGGCAGAGATCAGCAAAGGGTCAAGCCTCTTTGTAGGCAGGATCAGCACTAGAAGTGCCACAGCTCTCTGCTTCTTCTGGATGGTCTGTGATGGTCTGCTCAAGTCTTCTTCTTCTGCTCTATCTTCCTCAAAGGTCTGTGATGATCTGCCCCCAGGCTCTCTGCTCAGGGCCTTATATAGGTTTAATAGCTTAGCTGTGATAGGTCTATAAAATGGACCAATCAGGAGCAGGATTGAAAATGGACCAATCAGGGATGGGCACCAGTTTTCCCTTGATTGACAGGTCCTCCAGCACCGCTCTACTGGAGCCTCTGGGGGAAGAAAGCTCCCCTGCTTGCCCCAACCTGCCTGTTTCTTTGCCAGCTGCTGCCACCAAGACAGAAATGGCAGGTCCCCCAGGCCCTGCTCTGCTGAGGTGGCTGGGGTGCCACTTTTCTGGTGAATTGTAGCACAATTCACAATCACATGGATATAGAAAGAACCCAAGTGCTCATCAATACATGAATAGATTAATAAAATACGGTATATGTATACTCAACCATAAAAAGATGATCTAATATATTTTGTAACAACTTGGATAGAATGGTTCTTGCATGGGGAGTATCAGAGGAATAGCAAAACAAACACTCCCTGTGCTTAGTACTAAATGGGAACTAGTTGATCAACACTTGTTTGCTCATAGGGAAGGAAAACCCAATAAAATTTGTGTGGGGGGAAGGGAAGAAGAGGAACAGGAAGGATAAATTCTGACTCAGTGGGCACTTGGCCTGGGTACATTAGACATTTTCTGACTGAAGGGCACACCTATAACTTAAAGTTTACAAAAGCAAACAACGTAACCAAAACACACATACCCCCATGACATACTGAAATAAACTTTAAAAATACAGTGGTTTCACATGGGCTCTTCACTATATTCAAAATTAACCTATCAGGAAAAGAAGAATTAAAGCTTTATCTTTTTTATCCATTGTCATAACAATGATAAATGTGGTAAACAAAGAGAACATGTAAAGGATATTTTTCCTAACATTATCTTTTGTGTATTTGATATGATTGCATACACTACAGTCTATACATATTGTTGAGATAATTGTCCCAATTTACATCAGTGTGGGACCTTTCACTTTGCCTCCTGTGTCCTTGTGCCATGAGACTATATGTTTTGAGATCTTTCTTATTTTCTGTAACTGACACACATACATGCTTCTCTTTGTCTGATTTCCCCTGGGCATAGTTATTTTCACTTGACTTGACCTATGGTGTTTCCTACACACATCATGGTTTTACACTGTGTAATTTAGCAATGTCATCTTCCCTCCCTTCCCCTCCCCACCCCTCCTCTCCTCTCCTCTCCCCAAGTTCACAGCAACCTCAAACTCCTCGGTTCGAGTGGTCTTCCTGCTTCAGCTACTCAAGTAGCTGAGACTAAAGGTGTCCTCCACAAAACCCAGCTGATTTTATTTTTTTAAAATTGGGGTTCTCACTGTTGCTCAGGCTGTTCTTAAACCTGAACTTAGTGATAGAGTTGTCTTGACTCAGCCTCCCGGAGGGCTGAGCTTATAGGCATGAGCCTCCCCACCTAGCCCCCAATGTTTTTTGTTTTGTTTTCGAGACAGTATTACTTTGTAGCCATCTGTAGAGTGCCTTAGTGTCACAGCTTACAGCAATCTCAAACTATCGGGCTGAAGTGATCCCCTTGCTTCAGCTTCCTGGGAAGCTGGGACTACAGGCACCGGCCACTATGCCTCGCTACTTTTAGAGATGAGGTCTCACTCTGGCTCAGGCTGGTCTGAAACCTGTGAGTTCACTCAGCCTCTTAGAGTGCTAGGATTAGAGGTGTGAGACACTGCGCACAGCCCCAATGCTTTCTTTTGTTAACACGTTTTTGTTTGATTCACAAGCCAGATTTACTTACACAGCTTGTAGAAACATTAATATTTTTCAAGGTTTTCTTCTATTATTTGTATATTTCAAATTTTTTACTGTTTATATTTCTTCTTTACTTTTCCTTTATCTTACTCTATCACATACAAAATAAATCCATTTTAGCTGGGCATAGTGGTTCATGCTTATAACTCTGGCATGAACCAGAGAACTCTGAGAGGCTGAGGCAGGTGGATTGCCTAAGCTAAGGTGTTCGAGACCAGCCTGTACAAGAGTATGACCCAGCCACTATTATAAATAGAAAAATTAGCTGGAGGTGTGGAGGACACTTATAGTCCAGCTTCTTGGGAGGCTGAGCCAAAAGAGTTGCTCAAGCCCAAGGGTTTGAGGTTGCTGTGAGCTATGATGTCACAGCACTCTACCCAAGGCACAGAGTGAGACTATGTCTCAAAAAAATTTTTATTTTAATATTTCCATA